ATTTGGGGCCCTACTCTCCTCCCTCCCAGCAGCCCCTGCTACACATTTTTTTTTTTTAGCTGAGCCATCCTGCCACCTGTTGGCAGCTCAGCAGCTGCTCAGCTCGGGCTGGATTCGAACCGCTGTTGCTCAGAGCTCAAACTCTTGAGCGAGCTGTTAATCAACTGAGCCACTCAGCCGCCCCCTGCTACACATTTTAAGCACTAAACCCCTCAGATTTGCTTAGTGAGAGGATGTGAAGCTCCTTGTAGGCATCCCCATGCCATCATTTGTGCAGAGCTTCCGAGATCTCTCACACTAACCCCAATCTTATCAGTATGGCTTTAACTTTACCCTATGTTTAGAGATTATGCACATGTTTGTAAAAGGGATGCAGGTTTCCCAGAAGCAGGAGAGAGTTCTTACCCCTTGAAGAAAGAAAGGGACCCGCAGCAAAGCTTGGCACAGTCCAATACGGACGTAGAGCCACATGGAGAAATTGGAAGCTGAACAAAAACAGCTACTGGAGCCCTCAGGCATTCTGTGTAGGGTCAGCCATTTAGCAAGGCAGGGACCTGAGGTCCCCGGTGCGATTCAGGGTCGTCTGGGGCACCTATTCAGGTTAGCAGAGGGGGAACGGGATAAGGTGGGGTTATGACCCCTGGTAGGCTTCAGGACAAGTCTAATCCTGACTCTCACTGGCCAGCTGTGGAATGTTGGGCAACTCATTTAAAGCCTTTCTGAGCCTCAATTTCTCCATTCGTAAAACGGGGAGAACAGTGACTACTTGACAGTGTTGTGTGAGGATTGCTTAAGATAACGCATGAAAGTCCTGGGTCTTGAGATGGGATGTTTGCTTAATACATTGGGACTGTGACTGCTATCAGCAGAAAACATTCCTTAAAAAATTATGTATGGCTGGGGCGGCGGATTGGGGGAGGGGGATGTCACTTCGAGGGGAAAAAGTATAACTATTGCACTGTGTTGTACAGCTGAAACTAATTCTAAAAATTGTGTATTTCATAATAAAAATAATTAAAAGAAAAAAAATTATGTATGGAACCAAACCTTTTGAAAAAACCAAAAGCCAAAACAAACTTCCTCCTTGTGTCATAGGTTGAAGTGTGCTTCTCTTGCAGAAATAAGGCGTTCACTGATGTACCATGCAGGTTTGTAAGAATCTTTCGGGAGTGGGGTTGAAGAATTAATCTAGGGGTCGATGTGCCAACCAAAAGTCTGCCTTGCATGTTGCCATTGGGAGGGGGAACTTTCACATTTGAAGACAAAATCCCCCCCCCCCCCCGGAAACAGAAATTGAAGCTGGACAAATTGAAATAAGAGGAAAACATATCTAGGGGTTTATTCCCCCATATGGATGCCCGGCATGTTATTCTAGAACATTAAATGGAAGGTATCTTAAGGGTTGTTTGAACCACTTTATGTCACTGAACTCTGCTCAGGAAGAGGTGCTTTTTCCCTTGAGAGAGAAAGGAAATTGCGTTCACTCTTGGAGAAAATGCGGGGAGCTCAGCTTGGTCTGAATCTGGACTCCCTACAATTCTATGATAGACCAACACCAGGTCTATTTTACAGAGCTGCAGGAGGCGAGTTTGAGAGGCTCACTGACTGGATTCGTAGATGCTGGAGATGCATCTTTGTGAATAACACTAGCCTTCAAGGCCATGGTAAAGATATAGTAATACAGCCAAATTAAGCACCTAGCACAGTACCTTGCACGTAGAAGACACTCAGGAGTTGATGGGAACCTGTAGAGGTGATATGACTCAGCTCATCTTCTATAAAATCACTGCAAGAAAGTGTTGAGTTTCATAATCAAGGCTGTCTAGCCTGAGCTTGACAGACTCAGTTGGTGATGGAAGAAAAAAAATGGAATAATGACAAGGAGAACCTTAGCCAAACTGTGACGTGGGTATGGGTTGTCTGTGATTCTCCATCGTTCTTGGTCTGGGCTGTGTCCTTCACCCCGTGATGCCTCCTCCTCTCACCCTTGCAGCAGCCAG